AAACCATATTTAAGCTGAAATTTAGGAACTCATTATTAAAGATTATATATATATATATATATATATATATATATAACAACAACAAATTTCAGAATTAAATATACTTATTTCACCCACAAAGAGTATTTTAGATATAGAAAAACACATCAAAAACGAGTTTAAAATTTCAGTAAAACTATTTTTTTTTCTCAAAAAATTGAGTTACAGATTAAATAAACTAAAAAACGAAATCAAATTTTCAAAATATAGAATTCTTATTTCTAAAAAGATCATATTAAAAAAATAAAAAACAACATCAAAATTTAAAAAAAAAAAAACATCAAGAAAATAAAAAATTAAATAGATTAAGGACAGAAAATTACATGTTAAAACCTTCGGTGATAAATTTAAAATATTTGAATAGTAATCAATATTTATCTTGGGAATAATAAAATAAACAAAATAAGAATCAACTAATTAGGAGAAAATCAAGGGAAAGATTTATCTTGTAAATTATAAATTACTATATTTATGGAAAATATATTTAGTTAATTAGAATGGGGAAAAAGAACAAAGAAAATAGGTTGAAAGAGAAACAGAAGATGGAAAGAGTAACGTGAGGGTGGGGTGTGGGTTGACATGTGATAAGTTAAAAAATCCCTTAAAAGGTGTAATAGATAATTACAAACTGATTCTCTCTCATTAATATTATTTCTCTCACCTATTAATTATAATATATATATATATATATATATATATAAATAATAATATATGATTAATTAATTAATTTATAAATTAAAACTAATTTGTTAATACTTATAATTAAAATGTTATAAGTAGTAATATTAAAAAAGTAGATCTAAAAGTTCTAATATTAACCCTTAAATAGATGTGTGAGGTGATTTTTCCATCTATATCATATATATATTTATATATAAAAAAGAGAACCCTAAGCCCGCCTACGTGGCGCCACCACAAACCAGAATTCCCTTTTAATTTATTTTATTCTCAAAACTAGCCTTCCCCTTTCGTGAAAAGTTGTGACTTTTATGAAAAATTGTGACTTTTATGAAGAGTTGCCACTTTTATGAAGAGTTGTGTCTTTTATGAAAGGTTGTGACCTTTCCGAACGGTTGTAACTTTTCCAAAGAATTGTAACCTTTCCGAAAAGTTGTGACTTTATGAAGAGTTGTCACTTTTATGAAAAGTTGTGACTTTTATGAAAGGTTGTGACCTTTCCGAAGGGTTGTAACTTTTTCAAAGAGTTGTAACCTTTCCGATAAGACACAATAATTATTTGTTCACACTACCCTTTGTTGTCTATAAATAAAGGACTTTCCTCTCATTTTAAAACAACGAAAATTTCAAACTTTTTCTTCTTCTTCTTCTTCTGGACAATTAAATATTTGTGTACTTTGCTCCTGTTGAATGACTTACTAACACCATTATTTTTGTATCAATACACTGGTGAATATTATCGTTCTATCTTGAGAGGATCTATTCCTTTAAACATCGAATACTAGAGGGGAATAATTTCCTTAAGGGAACACTATGCATTCAATGTGCTCGATTTTTTCCATTTTATTTCATTCTATTTTTGAAGATCTTGGTATGCTTTTTACATTCATTAATTTATGCTTATATTATTAATTGTTGTTTTTGAGTGCATGCTTTAAACTTTGTCGCTTATGTTTATGCAAAATTATTGTTACAAGTATTTGTTAGTACAGATTAAATAACAAATGTTATTTGGGTATTCAAGCAAGTTTTCTCTACTGAAATTGTTGAAGGTAAAATAAAAAAAAGCCCTTACAAATCTATAATTTCATCATCAACAACGTCATTCCTTCATATACAAGGATGCGATTTTGTGTTCTTTAAAAAATTCTCTGAGAGTTAATAACTTTGCATGTCCATATCTTTTGGTTTTTATGTTGTTGTTATCTATTCTTATTAAATTTTACCAGTGGATATTATGAGCACTTTAAGGATTGAAAGTTGATTGAAGTGTTAGTCAATTTTTTGTGGTATGTTATTCCAAAACATAGGAACTTTTCTGGTTAGAATAATTTGTTATCATAATTGGACATCTCATAGTTTACTCCCTTTAAAGTATGTTTTTCTCGCTGTTTTGTTGTTTCCTTAAAATTGTATTAATTATTTTTCGTTTAATATGTATATTACCTCACTTGGACAAAAAAAATCGTCCTTTTAAGGTTTTTCTTTTTTTTTCCTTCTCATTCGACTCTTCTAAATATTTTTGGTGTGAGTTATGACTATTTTCGGCAAACTTCATTTGAAGAATATGAAACAAAACTTACTCTAAATAAAAGTAAAATCTTAAACTACAAAAGATATGTCTATAAACATAGATTTGTTGTCCTTCATGTCCCAAGTCATTGTTGAGCGTTTGAGTTATCTAGGTTAGACTCATTCTTAATTATTTACTATTCGAGAATATCTCTTTAACGTGAGTCTACAAACCAAAATTTTTATCTACTTACAATTATACATATATATTTTTGAACAAGTCGTAAAGTTGCATTGATGAAGCATCTAGAAAGGCCTTCAGAGCAGCAATTTATTGAAGAATGAATTTTTAAAAGGTCAACAATATTATTTTGTTGTTGTTTCAAATTTATTTTTCTCCTTCTATAAATTTTGTTAGAGTAACAAAGTAACAATAACGAAAAGTGGTGAACGTTTGACCTCAAACAAGTAGATTGTCTCTAAAAAAATTTATTTATGTTGTTGTGGTGTACACTTTTTAACGGTCTTAACTTATTTATAACTAATATTGATTATCGAAAACTTTCACATAAATGTTTTGTCACAAGGAGTTATTCTAACCATAAAGTTATCAGATTCTATATTTTTCATGTTCAAAAAAATAGAAAAAAATTATGTTTAATCGCTACATTCGAACATCACTCAATTTTAACAAGACAATTATATCATCAAACATATATTATGATAAAATATGTAAAAGATAAAAATGATTAGATATTAAGATATTTTTAATCATTAATTATATATTTACAATTCTTGAGATATGTGATAATGTCAAATCATTTATTTCTATTGAAATGTTCTAAAACCTACTAAAATTTACTCTTTTTTCCCTTATATAAGTCAATTATTGGAAAGGTTGTTCAAAAGCTTAGAAAGATTATTTATGGTCGCCCAAAGCGCGGGTAAATTACCTAGTATATATATAAAGGAGGATCTTCATCCTGCTGATGTGGCATGCCTAAATGATCAGAAAATTTATTTATTTATTTTCTTAAATTTTAGACATTTTTCTCTATTTTTAAATTATTAACTACTATTAATTATAAATTATTAATGATCAGTTATACATTCCTAAAATACAGAATTCCGAAAGGCTACTCCGTATAATTAACATTTACTTTTCCATAATTAATGTGGTTAATTACGGAAAAAGTGGTTACATAATTTCATTAAAAACAATACTCATTTAATGGTAACTTTAATGAAAAAAATAATTCAACATTTCAGAATTTTACTATATAATGTAAACATTTCAAAATTCTACCACAATTTCTCTATTTTTCTTTCTATACTACTTTATCAATACTTCAATTTGGTCATTTTATATCTCTTCCTTTAATATTTTTTATTTACCTCATGCAATGAATTTTGATTTATATATCTTATGAAAAATAATATTATAATTATATGTTAATTGTTTGCATGTTTTACATCAAATTATCTCTTTATTGATTTTCCAGAGGAGTTGAAACATGAACAAGTGCAAGTAGTTCTCTTACCATGCTTTTGGTTGGTATTCAAATTTTACCAAACAAATTTACTATTTAATTTTTCATCACAAATATTTCTAAAAATTATATAGTGACTTTTCATCGTTGATTGTTGATAATGTTTATGAATTATTAGTCTTCGTGAATAAATAAATAAAATTGTAATTGTCTTTTAAATTTCTTACTGCAGATCGCATGGATATGTGATGTTATCAAGAACACAAATTTATTGACTATTCATTATTGATTGTATTCATATAATCAGTTCATTGTAAATTATTATTTTTTCCAATTATTTATTCACTACATATTATATGAAAATATAATGCTACCCACGATGACATATATAAAAAGAGAAGATTTATCAACTAAGCAAGATTAGCTTCATTCATGTAGGAATCTCCTTTTGCAAATCAATAAGTGATTTCATGTTTATCTTCTTTTTTTTATACAACATAAATAGTGGAAAAAAAAATACGAGAAGATTTATCAACTAAGCAAGATTAGCTCCATTCATGTAGGATTCTCCTTTTGCAAATCAGTAAGTGATTTCATGTTTATCTTTTTTTTTTTATACGACATAAATAGTGAAAAAAATAATACGAGAAATGGAGGAAAATCGTAATGGACTTGTGAGAATTCTATTTTGAAATTGCTTGCGAAAACATTTGCAAAATTTCTTATTTCCTTATATTTATTTGTACATCAAAACAATAAAAAGAATCTAAAAGTATATTTTGCCATAACTCATTTTACGTTATTACAAATTACTCTATGTAACTATTTTTTTGCTAATTATGAAAAATGAACCATTAGCTTCAAATAGATTGTTGTAGTAGAAATTATTTTAGATTGTTTTAGTGAAGCAAGTAGTATATTAAAAGTGTATAAATCTGAGAAAATGAACCGTTAAACGAGTAAATTTGTGCATAGCATTCTATTTGTAGAGAGTCACCAATACCATATACTATATATCAAAGCACATTTCCATTTAGCGATCTCCCTATCCACCCCTTGATTATCACAGTTTATCCATCAACCACCTGGAGTGGGATGTACGATAAGACCATACCATTGGACACAGATCTATTCTTAGCAAAGAGATAGCCCGCGTATCAGGGGAAGCCTTACCTTTCTCTACAACTGTTACGTGGGGAGTAGGAACATTTACTATTCCATTGAAATCTACTCCAATCTTTCTCCCCTCTTTCTACTCATCTAGATTAACCATACAACTTGTTACACAACACAAATAGGAGATGTGAATAATATAGAAGTTAAGTGAATCTTTCACACACACACACACACACACACCATTCAGGGTAAAATCATTGGACACGTCCAGTAACTTGTACACACTCCCAATTAAAAAGTAGAATAATTCAACAACATTGGTTACTTATGAAGTGGTAACAAGTGGTGGCTTGAGAATGATTTCAACATTGTCATGAACACCTTGGAGGAGGAGCTCACCATCATAGGTTAGGAATTTCCTTTTCTTTGCAGCCCTTAATGTTCCAACTAGCGCCTCAAAGATGTTGGCACATCTGTCATCATTAAACAGCACTCCGAATGTTACCTTCACAACACAAACAAAATAAACGTTAATCACGCCACCTTGTATTTGTTTAAGATGACAACTATTCTTAAGTCAATCCAATTCCTTTAGATTATAGTTAGGGCTCTTCTAAACTATCTGCCTTTTGCAACTTTTAAACTTGAATTATGGGGTGTTGCTATTATCCCCCTTAAACTCTTAGGTTTCCTATTTAAAACCTCCTTGTAGTGCCAAAGTAGCATGCATAATGATTTAACTCTTCTTGTGGTGTGTGAAAGTTAAAAAAAACTAGGCCAAAGAGGGCAATCACATGACATTTTTCATTCTGCCCTGCAATTTCTATAACCTGTCCCGCCCCATTGCCATCCCTACTTACCCACATTTTAAAAAAAAAGAAAAGAGCATCAAAACATAAGTATTATAATCTTGACGGGAAGCTAAATTCAATTTGAATCAAATTTTTCCAACACAAATATTCAAACATTAACCATGAAAACAGAGACAAAGCCAGCTTCCAATCAAGCACGGCTGGCTACTCATATGGGAGAGACTGGCACAAACTCAAATCTGTTTACATTACTTGCACTCTATTAGCCTATTATTGTTTAGTTCGAAATCACAGTCCTATGCTGCTACCGTTTCTCAAATCACTGACTTACTAATGATAGCAGAAACAGAAAACAACTACACAAGGGAATGCCATCCAAGCTAAGCCAATTAGACAGAAAAAATGGTTTTTAATTCCTGAACAACAACGCTATAGATTTCAAGAACAATCAATTCCAAAAGGCATGAATGATCTAACCTTAATCCTCATGATTTGGTTTCTTGAGACTATTCTGAAACAAAGTAGGTAGTAATTTCTCTAAATGTATTTCACATTTAGTAAGCCCTCTTTACGGAGTTTAAACCAGTTTTATCTCAGAAATCCAAAGAGGGCTTACTATGTTTTACAAAAAATTAATATCATATGCCTAGGGGATTCTTAAAAAGATACGATCTTGTGCCATCAGAACCTTCTGATTCTTCTCTTCTTTATTCTTGTTGAAATTACAGGCATCACATAGATTTCAAGGATCTCTATATGATATATCAGGCAAGAAGTGTAAAGTGTCCAACAAACTCATAGTTGTGTGAACTGATTGTTGATTCCCAACCCCTATTCAAGGTTGGGGTTAAATAATTGATAATCAGTTCCTTAGCATCAATAAGTGATCAAGTTTGAAAACGGCTAATATTTATATGCTGGATCTGTCTTCACACAAAATGCATTACAGATCTGATATCTAATTGAAATGGGTCACGCAATTTCCACCACATCAACGTTGTGAAAGCTGTTCGTTCCGAAAAACAAAATAAACAATTCTAGACAGTGGGCACTGCTTATATGTAATCCATTCCATCTCTGCACAAAATGTATTACAGTTGATCTATATGCAATTGAACAATGCATCGCTTCGCTAAGCTCCGAAAATTCTTAATTGGGGAAGAAAAAAGGTACCTTGTAAGAACCATCATCTTGGGCTATGCCGAGTCGCTTGATCTCTTCTTTGAGTCGTTCAACCTCTTCTTCAACGTTCATGGTTCTTTTCAATGGAGTTGAAGAGATCTATCTTCTTCTAACATTTATTTGGTCTTTATATACTATGGTCCCTACTTGATCCAATAAAATTTACTATTCCTTATTTGGAGTTGGAGTTAATGATAAAATACTCTCTTCTCTTTCATACTCATCATATTATTTTATGTGTCTCATTTTATGTGAGGTAATTTTACTTGGCACGGAATTTAAGAAAGAAAGACTTTTAAAACTTGTGGTGCAAAATGAATCGTAGAAATTGGTGTGGCTATAAGGGTAAAGTAGACATTTTAAAATTAAATTGTTACTTAATATATAAATATGTCATTCTTTATGGAACTGACTAAAAAGGAAAGTAAGTCATTGGAACAGAGGAATACTAGTTAATAGTTTTGTCCTTCAAGTTTATTAAAGTGAGTATTGTTAGAAAAAATAATAAGAAATATAATTAAAGAAGAAGAAGATGGTTTTGAGGCATATAATTACTTTTTAAAAAAAGATATTGTTTGTATATATTTGGGGAAAATACAAACAAATATCTTCAGGATACAACAAAGGTTTTTGTTTATACATGCAGATTTTTCTAGGCTACTTCTAGAGAGTCATTATATTTATAGAACTTAAGAGATGACTCTTCATAAGATTCATGTTCTTTCATGAACAATTGACTTTTTATAAGAGTCATGTTCTTTCATGAACAAATGACTTTTCATAATAGTCATGTTCTTTCACGGACAGATATGTCTATTCAATTTAAGACCTATATATTACAAAATATCCAACAATCCCTCACTAGTTTGTAATATTTCTCATAATATCATCTATACCAGAGAGTATCTTCTAATAGATTTAAATTTTTCGTTAGTGCAAGTACTTTAAAGTTCTGACGAAGTAATTAGTATCTTAAAAGATTTGAACCACAACTTCGTGTGTCAAAACCAAGAATATCACACACATAATATTATTTATAGCTTATAAATCTCAGTATTTGCTTTAGCACGTTTATGGTTATGACCTCATCCTGATTTCATGAATATTTACAAGATCAATCATTTAGATCTTGCATGAAGCGGCATCACTTCAATATACATATATGTGAAATTAGCTACTATGTCCTTGTTATTGTAGACATTACTAATTTCATCAAGAATTAATTCAACCTGTGTAACAATTTGCACTGTGGAAGTTGTCATTTTGCCGTTGTTATTTCAAACATTTAACAACTCCTCCACTTCTCACATAACTGTATGTAGTACACTTGAGTCAAGGCTCTAAAGAGAAACTCATGCTTTAGAAACACAAAGTAACTTGTTATTACCCATTGAACGTGTATTGTTAGAGTGTATACTAACTCAAAGTTGGGTTCCCATCACTTGTGTTTAATTAGTTTAAGAATTTTGGCATTATTCATTCACACATTTATTATATCGCATCTTTTGAAACTAAATTTTACAAGATTAATATAAATCATAAACAAATCTTCACATAGATCATCATTAACTCAATAGCTTAGAATGATTGCATCAGTCGTGGCCATAACATTTCAAAATCATATTTTTTTTTTCCAACCATTCCATTTCTTTTCAAGCATTTATATACTAAATATATTGTTATTCCACTATGGAATTCAAGCCATATTTATTATACCGCATCTTTTGAAACTAAATTTTACAAGATTAATAATAATCATAAACAAATCTGTCAGGCAAATCACATAGATCATCATTATCTCAATAGCTTAGAAAGGTTGCATCAGTCGTGGCCATAACATTTCAAAATCATATTTTTTTCAACCTTTCCATTTCTTTTCAAGCATTTATATGTTAAATATATTCTTATTCCACTATGAAATTCAAGCCTATTTTTTCTGCAAAACTTATGGCACCTTCATACACATTACAAATCCAACTTATATGGATTTTTTCATTATTATTAGAAGATTCACTATTTATAGACCAACACATCAATTCATCCATGTATGAATGGTCATGTCTATACAGAAATTATCTTACAAAAGATACTTTTTTTTCATTAAAAAGTCACAACATTTCAAGTGATACTACTTCACGAAATTATACAATATTTCTGTCAAGGCTTATAGCCTAATCATCATATTAGTAGTTTAATCAACTAATTATCACACACACACATATATATATTGTGTGTATTGAAAAAATAATTTATATATTAGACTTATTCAAATATTATTGACTATTAATCATTAATCAAAGCACCCCATATTTTGAATGTTTCAAATGTCCTTTTGTAACTCGACTGGTTGTCAAGTTTATTGCGTTCCAATTCTATAACACATGAGCATTCAATAAGAAGACAAAGTACTCAACTTTTAATGAACGCAAAATGTTCTAGCAAAAAAAATATCATTTCTCTTAATTTCAAATTATTCTAAGGGCAAATACATAAAATCCCCCCTGAACTTGGTAGCGAAACTTAGTTTAATACTTTAACTTTATGGGTAATTATTTACCCCCCTTATCTCTTTTCAAGTGAATTTAAATGCACCCAAAAAGCTGACGTGACAAGTCAAAAAATTTCCTGCGCGTAAATAGCAAAAATTAAAGTGAAAAATAATAAGTGGGCCCCATTATTTTCTTTTTAGCCAATAATCTTTTTTTCCTTCATCTTCCTCACACCCAACCACCCCTCTCGCCCTCAACCACCATCCCCACCTTTTTGATTTCTCCTTCTTCGAAACCCCCATTTCGACCTTATTTCTCCTCTTAGAAACCTCACCCTCTTTCTTTCTCTTTGGATCTGCTGCCTCAACCACCATTGCATCACCCTTTTCTTCTTCTTCTTCTTCGTTGAACTTTCCATCTTCTTTCTCTTTCTTTGGAATGCCCTCACCCCACCTCCATTTCCTTTTGATCCGTAAAAGTGTGATGAATAGGAAAAAAATAGAAAAGCCAACAACTGTTCTTGCTTCAATATTATTGTTTATGGTAGTGTTTGAATGTGATGAACTTGAAGCTCTTTTTAAGAAAAAATCTATAATTTCTTCATTTCAAATTAAACTTTCAGTCATTATTTATTGTCTTAATAATGTGTCTTAAAAATTGAATGTGTTTTTGTGAGAATGATTTTGACATTTTGGATCGATCTTTCAATTGTGACCGAATTTGTTCAATTGCAATCGTGACTGAGTTGAGGAACATGGATCTCATTTTTTGAAATTTTTTTGCTTTCTAAAATTGAGAATAAATAAAAAGAAACAAATAAAATTAAATAATGTTCTATGTGGCGCTGATGTGGCAATGACGTGGCGATGACATATCAATGACATGGCGCGTGTGGAATGCACTTGCCATTGTGAGACTGATATTATAATTTTAGGGTGATAATAAATTCACTTGAAAAGAGATTAGGAGGGTAAATAATTACCCGTAAAGTTAAAGTGTTAAATTAAGTTTTGCTGCCAAGTTCAGAGGGGATTTTATGTATTTTCCTTTATTCTAATTACTTTCAAGTATAGATATTATCCATCAAATAAAGGAATTCAAACATATTATCCCATAACTGGAAAAAAAAATTCACATGATCTTTATGCAACACAATTATGCAATAATAATTTTATTTGGCCCAAATAACAAATTTATAGTAATCATACCAAGTATCTTATTCCTAAACTTATTTAAAATGTATTTCGAGGTCACAAATGAATTATTTATCCTAACATTTATGAAAAAACATTTTCAAAAATTTCTAAGGATAAATATAAATAAATAATAAGAGAAGTTAAAAAAGCAAAACACGATATATGTTGTTTGCAATAAATTTTAAAGTGACAGAAGATAAATTATAATAAAAAATAAAATATGAAGAAACGTAATTGTATTCATAAATATAGTGGGTACAATTATATTCCTCCCTTGATTCTTCTCTCATAAGATTTATCTATAATTCAAAGGTCGTTAGTGGCGTATTTCTCGAATTACAATGATTTGGATTTGATCTCTTTATAAATATTTCATGAATTTGCGGAATGTTTGAGATTTTGATCTATTTATGAATATTACATGAATTTGTGGTGAAATTTTTGAGTTTTATTTTCAAGAGAATATATTACATTTTATATAGGCATGAACTAGGGCTTAGGGTTAAGTAGCCTCCGAGAATTCTAAATGAAATTGAACACACCATGTAGAGTCCAACTCGAATTGAACACATCTTGTAGAGTCCCACATAATTTCAATGTTTATAAATGCTCATGCTTTAAGGATTGTCGGAGTGCAGACTTGATGCAACTCAAAAATGAGAATTGAAGTACTCATTCTTCCACCTTTGCAACTTCAGATTTTCATATTTGATTCATGAGAAAAGAGATGAAGAGCAGATTTGGTCCCACTGGGCGTGTCAATTTGTTTGCAACAAATTTTAAAGTGACAGAAAATAAATCACAATCACTAATAAAATATAAAGAAACACAACTTATTGATAAATATTGCGGGTACAATTTTGTTCCTCCGTGGATTCTTCTCACATAAGAACTATCCATGATTCGTGGGTCGTTAGTGGTGTATTTTTCGAACTTGGTTAATTTGGACTTGATTTCTATAATTTGAGGATCGTTAGTGGTGTATTTCTTGAACTATGATGATTTGGACTTGATCTTCATAACTCGAGGGCCGTTAATAGCGTATTTTTTGAATTGAGATGATTTGATTTTGATCTCTTTATAAATATTCCATGAATTTATGGTGAAATTTTTGAGATGCCTTTTCAAGGAAACATAGTATCCTTTATATAAGCATGAACTAGGGTTTAGGTTGAGTAACCTCCAAGAATTCTAATTAAAATTGAACAGACCTTATAGAAACTTTTGGTGATATTTTTAAAGAAATTGCTACATTAGAGGACATCATCAGAGTAATGGAGAACCAATTGGAGAGGGACCCTACGGGAGAGAATAGAAGAAAACTCAGTAAGGCCCAAGCTGACCTGTATAAGCAGTTGAAGAGGGAGGAGGAATACTGGCAACAAAAAA